CTTATTACTACTTTAATAATAACAATTCTGGTTACTATGATGAAACGTAACCCAAACATGTTTACAGTAATCTCTCGTGATTTAAAACCAGAAGCAACATAAACACGTTCACAGTAATCCATCCCGATCTAAAACCAGAAACAGCCCCAAACATGTTTACAGTAATCTCTCGTGATTTAAAACCAGAAGCAACATAAACACGTTCACAGTAATCCATCCCGATCTAAAACCAGAAACAGCCCCAAACATGTTCACAGTAATCTCTCGTGATTTAAAACCAGAAGCAACATAAACACGTTCACAGTAATCCATCCTGATTTAAAACCAGAAGCAACATAAACACGTTCACAGTAATCTCTCGTGATTTAAAACCAGAAGCAACATAAACACGTTCACAGTAATCCATCCCGATTTAAAACCAGAAACATTCCCAAACATGTTCACAGTAATCTCTCGTGATTTAAAACCAGAAGCAACATAAACACGTTCACAGTAATCCATCCCGATCTAAAACCAGAAACATTCCCAAACATGTTCACAGTAATCTCTCGTGATTTAAAACCAGAAGCAACATAAACACGTTCACAGTAATCCATCCCGATTTAAATACAGAAATATTTCCAAACAATTTCAATGTTTCTGGTTTTAAATCAGGATGGATTACTGTGAACGTGTTTATGTTGCTTCTGGTTTTAAATCACGAGAGATTACTGTAAACATGTTTGGAATTATTTCTGGTTTTAAATCACGAGAGATTACTGTGAACATGTTTGGGGCTGTTTCTGGTTTTAGATCAGGATGGATTACTATAAACATGTTTGGAATTATTTCTGGTTTTAAATCACGAGAGATTACTGTGAACATGTTTGGGGATGTTTCTGTTTTTAAATCACGAGATTTTACTGTGAACATGTTTGGGGATGTTTCTGGTTTTAAATCACGAGAGATTACTGTGAACGTGTTTGGGGATGTTTCTGGTTTTAAATCAGGATGGATTACTGTGAACATGTTTGGGGATGTTTCTGGTTTTAAATCACGAGAGATTACTGTG